AAGTAACATTTAAAAGGGAGTCTGTTTTTATCTGCCAATCACATAGGTAATAATGGAAAGTACTGTACATTTGGTAATGTCAAAACATTGACATGATGAAAACACTGCAAAGAGTGACTGCAACAAAACGATACTATTATCTGACTAATAAAAATATCTGATCTGAACATTTTTCTCTGAATGACATGTCCAACAAGCTGTCATAAATAGATTTCCTCTTCTTATAGTGGAATCCTACATTCCTTAGACAAGCAAAAATTCACACTGACTTCAACTGGATTTACACTGAATAAGGGCTCTAGCTGAATTTTAATGGCCATATGAACTTGTCAATTCTGGGTCTTGCACTTAAAGACTCCTCTTATGCTTCCTGTGGAGAGAGAACTTTCAAAATTTTAACTATTTGAAATTAACATAAAAATAACTCCTGGATGCTAAATATATCTGAAACAAATTAAGAAAGCAAAGCATTAAAACTCTACATTTGAAAAAAAAAATCATACTCTCTGAAAATTATTTACCTGCTACTTTTAAAAGTAACAGAGTATGACAGAAAGCGATTAAAAAACTATTTATTTTTTTCTGTTTATTGATTGCACCTTGTGTATAGTCAGATAGGGCCCAGTTAGGCACAGGCCTTAAACTGGTACATAGTGCAGGTGGGCACAACAAACATGTGCCATGCCCATGCCCCGTGCATGTTATAGTTGCACATAATACATTTTGTTGGACATATTTGTTCTTTAAAAATACAAATTAGGAAATTATATTCAATATGACTATGTTAAACATTATCTAGGTTGCTCAATCAAGCACTCAATAGTTATGAAATACTAGAATTATGGTTGACCACACCACCTTAATTCTGCCACCTTGTTCACTTACCTTATGACAGAGTCTTCAATTACATGATCAAATACAATATTTTTCCAGAAGACCCCTGCTTCATTCAGTATACAGAAAGGACACATGGGCCCAGAATTAAGGTTGTGTTGCCAAACCCAATTCTGTCATTCCTGAACTTTTGAGTGCTTGACTTTGCAACCTAAATTACATTCTTTTAACACTGGGTTGGGTTTTTTTAAAATGTAATTTTCTATAAAATAGCTAAAGGTCAGATTTTGAAAAAATATTAGGCATCTAAAATGCAGACAGGTGCCTAGTGGGATTATTCCACTAGGTGCCTAAATATCTTTGAAAATCTGGCTCTCCATCACTAAACCCAGTTTTACAATTTTTATTCTTAATTCAAGCAAGCAGTCAATGGGGTCTTACAAAGCTCCCACAATGCGGAGCTGATAATCCACAGAATCAGGAAGATGGAGAAAATTGAACACAAGGAAACTATAAAAAAAATAGTCAGATGTTATTATGTGTATATGCACAACTGCAAAACAAAATATAATAAATTTGATGCAAGTGTAACAAGTACACAAAAAATGTCAATTTCAATAAAGTAAAATAAACTACTGTAAATAAACACATTCTATTAAAAATGTTCACACCCACTGGTTCTTCAAGGGGCTCTTTTCAGATTGGGTCCACACTGGTGAACATGCCATTCAGAAAAGAAATGAGTAGGCAAGAAATGTTCAGTTTTTCCTCTCTCACGGCTTATCTGTGAATACATTCTAAGTGGGAAGTAACAAAGAATCACCAACGGGAATAGTAGTATTGTACGAATATAACCTTAAAAAACAAGAGAAACTTATCAGCCTGGTGTACTCATCTCCCAAAAGATGCATCCAAAGACACTTGTAAATGCAATCGGTAATATTCTGCAAAAATCACAAATGAAAAACCAAGCTACTAGTTTATATATTTCTTTCACTGAAGGAAAGGTTCTTTCTGCCCAAAATAAGACCGAGTATATTAATGCCTGATGAGTAGGATAATCCATAGGTTATTATACTTCTGACGTACAACATCTGATCCATCTTGTGATAATAGATTTGGACAATTTCATTTCTTCTACACCTTTAATGAAATGAAATAATCAGCAACAATGGCTAGGTGAATCCCTCTCAAGTAGACCTTGAGCATTCTTCAGGCATCCAGTTTTTTACCATGAATGTTCTTTATTAGCATACTTAACATTGCATGGGGGAAAAGGATGGCGAACTAATTTTTTATAATCTGAAAAAGACTGATTAATCTTTTGGTAAAAATATAAATTATCTTTAATGTTATTAAATTGTACTTAAGATGAATTAGCAGCTTTAAACAAAGTATTTCCCATCTAGCACTCTTTTTCTTGATGTGATTGCTGTTTACATGGATAAGTAGCAGATGTGGCAATATCCTGGGAAAACTCTACTGAATTAAGTTTTAGTATCTTTGGAGTCCATCCTATTAAATGCAAAGATTATATATTATTGTGGACATGAATTATCAAAAAACTATACTGAACGTGGCAGACAGAATAGTCTTCTGAAGGACAATACATGTGAAGTGGATTTCCTGGGAAATATATAGAGGGAATTGAATGCAAATTCCTTCCACCCCATCGTCAGTTATTCAAAAACCCAAGTTTTTGATACTACACCCTGAAGAAAGAACCATTGTCTCCTGGTTACCTGTTCCTGAAGGTTGGAGAACAAAGGTGCAAGATGCATGAAGAAACAGGATGATCTGCTTATTCTGAGCTAAAGCTATTATTAGTTTGTAACCACAGAAAAACTCCATGGTGGGGTTTGAAGGAGTGACTCCTACAAGAGCCCCCACTGGAGATGAGGAGGAGGAGGATCTCTGGTAAGGTTATTAGCATGCACGCAGGTTTTATTTTTTTAGTATGTTTTTTCTGCAGTGCTTTCACCTTAACAGATAAGGCAGCTTACGTTGACCTAACTCTGTAAGCATCTGCACTAAAATGTAGCTCCCACTGATGTAACTCGCCCACTACACTTACTTAACTCCTCCTCCGAAGAAATAAGCGCATAGATTGATGTGGTTCGATTGAATCAATGTCAGTGTAGACACTGTGTTGCTTAAATCAACTGTTGCTTCAGAAACCATTCCACAATGCCCCACACTGACAGTTAAATCAAGCTAAGCACTCCTGGTGAGGCACTGCTGACACAAGGAGCGTACTGTGGACATGCAAATGCAATTTAATTACTCCAGTGGCTGTAGGTCGACGTAACTTAAGTCAACTTAATTTTGTAGTGTAGACTTGCCCTCAGATATTTAAGGCCCGAAACTGGTGTTTATAAACAAAACACCCCATCAACCTTAACTACCCAAGAAGTTAAAAGAGTCAGAACAGCCGCTTGACATGGCATGCTCTACTCCCAAGGAGGCAGAAATGGGGGCTAAGCAACCATGGAAGTTAATGCTGTTTGATGGTTCATTAGTTTCTCCTAATGGTGGTCCCCACAAAAAAGTCACATAAAATAGATGTGAGCCAATTCCAGCATGGTTAGCTCAATGGTCATGCTGCCATTGAGGAATGTGGAGAAGAGAACTGGAAACTATGCAGTGGCATCATGAAGGTACATGAGCCAAGATCCATGAAATTACCTGCGGATCTCCAGCCTTGTTCCTTTCCATTCTACTGTTTTCATATCTGGAGGAGAATGATAGCGGAGAAATAGGCTCCCTAAGAAGACTTCAGATTTAATAAGTAAGTTCTCCCTTTCCACTATTTTCTACATGGATGTGGATACTACGACCTTGAACTACTACACATTATAGCAAATGAAAAGGAGCACAAGCGATATGCCCTATCAACATACAGTTCTTGTAAGAATGATTCCCAAACATAGTTCACAGAGCCCCAGAACAGAAAAAGAATACTGTGGGATAAGTTTGGGATTGATAGGAGACGGTCCATAAGTGGATCTCTTTCAAAGTGCTCCACAGAATGAAATATGTATTGAATACTTTAAAACATCCTATACAGAACATATAAATGGACATACACACACCATACAGAGAGAATAAAAAAGGTAATTGATTATATGCTATTGGTATCAGGATGAATATAACTATTCTCAAAATGTATTGAATTAAGGAATTATAAGGAATGTGTTGCTCTAGACTAAAAGTTATATGTAGTTTTTTATTTCAACAAATGTGAACTAAGAATGTTTCAAGTTACTTGTTTTCTGCACTTCAGTAGTGACTGCTTATAGTTCTGCTATAGTCATACAAAAATGGTCATAGGGAAGTATGGTAAATCAGGATTGAGCAAACAAGGAATATGTCCACAGACTACTGCATTCTCACTTTCAAATGCTATTACAAATTTCCTGATATTAAAATATCAGCAGTTTTAAAATCATTTACACCATTACGGTGTTTGGGAAATTTTCCAATAACAAAAGTGAATTAAGACTAACTAGAGCTTTGCGGATACCATTTTGTAATGGTAAAATTATGTGTAATTCATGGCACAGTCGCAGGAAAAAACAAAACAAAACAAAAAAAACACACAACAGAATTTCACACTATGGTCACAGTAACCTCATGGACCCTGCTGTCGCACATTAACAGTTTGTTAGTTCACCTTGATCTAGTTCTCTTTGAAATGGGACTAGATCAAGGTGAACTAATCTCCTGTTAATGCACAGTAGCTGATCTTATGACCTGTTAATGTGCAGTAGCAGGGTCTACATGAACAATTCATTAGTAAGCACTGACCATCTGCTACACATTAACTATATGTCAGTTTACTTGGATCTGGCCCTTTTTTCACTGAGAACTAGATTGATGCAAAATTAAAATTGCTAACGTGTGGCCACGGGGTCCATATAAATGGCAAAATTGTTCCATGACAGTGGTGACCTTTCAGTGTCAAGTTCAAATATATGGCAAAATTCATGGGTTCTGTGACAGTGGCAATCACCATAATGTAATTGTGTTCTTAACTATATTGTAGTCTAGGGTTCAAAAGTGAACTCTGTACCACAAAAAATAGGTGATGTATTTGGTCTTCCAGAAGAGAAACATTTGAGAAATGGAAAGGCAAGACTACAAAAAAATTTACTTTTTCCTTTTACCTCTTTTCTTCTTTTGCTCTCTGTTGTTCTTCTTGTCTCAGAACCTGAACCATTATGGACTCAAAAAAGCCTGTTGTCAAGCCTGCTAAACTGCGAGGTGTGGAACGACGCCTTGTTGAAGTACATGCTGTTCCTTTCTCATCTTCCAACCCATAGTACCCTTTGGATGTTACTGCTATTGTTGTCTTCTCTCTCAAGTGCCTTGCAAGAAAAAATAGATCAATGCAAAATAATTTTTCCTGACCAGCAGCAATCCACTACCTACACCTTTAAAAACGTACAACAACTAGGTTAGGTCAGAAAAAACTGATATTGTTAGAGTGTCATCACTATCTACAACTGAACTACCAAATTCTTCAGAGATGAAATGACCACTCCTTTACAAAATATTAAAACTTAGATGCCATCACCTGAGAATTTTTGAAGGCCTACACTATTAAAAATGGTGAATAGCTATCTCCTAAATAAATAATTAGATTTTCTAAATTAATTTCCACATTACGTATTTTTTAAACATCTATACACACAAGTATTATAAATTTGAGCTCAGATAAGGCCATTTTCAGAACACACAAAAGCATTCCGAAACAAAAGATATGTTGCAAACTCAACATGACAGATTAAAATTTGAAACTTTGGCAGATTACAAAATTGGGAATATTTTACTTTGAAATATTTAGAAAATGAAATAGCTGAAAACAAAGGAATAATCTTTTCTTGTTTTAGATCTCTCTCTTACACTGTGTTAGGAAACTAATGAAGTTTAATGATAAAAAATACTTTTCACAACACTGTCTTTTTATTCAATTAGTCATCATTTTAGATTGTCAAAAATCAAGAAAAATTACACACACTTTTCCTGGGTTACTAAAGGTAAGAACCCAAACCACCACCAATTTCCCAGACTGTACCTAACAAAGTAGAGAATGCCTTTCTCTACTACAAATAAATAGGAAAAATATATACACAATAAGATATTAGAATTGTTAAAGACTGAAGAGTTAAAGGTTGTTTTGTAAAGAGTGTTAACAGCAAAACAGAGAAAACAAGCTACCAGTTATTAATAACACTAGGCAATTATATTTTGTAAGCTAAGATGCAAATAATAGTAAGTAATTCAGGTTGTGAAATTTTATGAAGGCAAAAAATACAGATATTGGCTGCCAACATATTTGAGGACCTTTATTATTATTAATTTAATATATTCCCTGACATACTGGTGAAGAAGTTTTGGGTACAAAGAATGCATCAAAGGGAGCTACTGTCCAAAAAAAAAACTTCTCACATTCAGGTTCACAGGGTGTGCAAAAGCCACAATGCCATTCCAACATCACTCATCCAACACACTGAGGATGAACAGGATGAGAGCAAAAAAGCAAAATATAGAAATACCTAAAACAGCCATGTTAAAGCAATGTCTCCTCACTACCCCAGCCTGAACATGAAGCAGTTAAAAGCAGGGCTTTGGAGCGGAGCCCGGAGCAGGAGTGCGGAGCAGCAGAGCTGCAGATTTTTGCCTGGAGCTGGAGCGGAGCACAGCTCAAAAGCCCTGGTTAAAAGTGTAATCCTGGGAAGTGTCAAGAACAGAACATTCCCATCTGTACTTGTACACTACTTCTACTTGTTCCTCTCCACTGTAAGCATAATAAAAAGGTCCATAGCGTTTGGTCACTTATAGACTATACTGCAATTTACTCTGAGGATGTTGTTAGGGCCCACCAGCAAACAAACTGGAATAGCATGCAGCAAGCAATAACAAGGTAGCACTTAGATTGTAATCTCATTTTTAGGATGCAAGCTCTGCACGGCAGGAACCTTGTCTTCCTATAGGTCTGTACAAACCTAGCACATTCTAGGCCAGTGGTCACCAACCCCTCAATCACATTTAACTGATCAATCCTGTAGGATCTCCAAGCGGGGCTGCCGCTAAGACAGGCTCCCTGCCTGCCCTGGCCCCATGCCGCTCCCGGAAGTGGCTAGCATGACCCGGGGCCCCAGGGATCTGCTTTTGCACGCTACTTGTGCTTGTAAGCACCACCCCCGCAGCTCCCATTGGCCAGGAATGGGGAGCTGTGGCGAATGAGAGCTGCAGGGGCGGTGCTTGCTGGAGATAAATGCTGCCCAGTGGGAGACCACACTCCAACCCCCTGCCCTGAGCCCCCTCCCGGAGCCAGCACCCCAAACCAGCCCTGAACCCCATCCCGGAGCCAGTACCCCATACTCTCTCCTGCACCCGAACACTCTGCCA